AACCCTAACGATTCTACGATTCTATGATTCTATGATCCTGCCCCTCTACTCTGCTCTTGTGAGATGTCAGTTGGAGTATTGTGTACAGTTCTGGTGTCCTCAATATAAAAAGGACATGGAACTGATGGAATGAGTCCAGAGGAGGGCCATAAGGATGATCAGGGAACTGGAGCACCTCCCGTATGAAGATAGGCTGAGAAAGTTGGGGCTGTTCAGCCTGGAGAAGGCTGCATGGAGACCTCATAGGAGCCTTCCAGTATCTGAAGGGGGGCTATAAGGATGCTGAGGAGGGACTCTTCTTTAGGGACTGTAGTGATAGGACAAGGGTTAACGGGTTAAAACTTAAACAGGGGAAGTTTAGATTGGATATAAGGAAGAAGTTCTTTAGTGTAAGGGTGGTGAGGCACTGGAATGGGTTGCCCAGGGAAGCTATGAATGCTCCATCCCTGGCAGTGCTCAAGGCTGGGTTGGACAGAACCTCGGGTGACATGGTTGAGTGTGAGGTGTCCCTGCCCATGGGCAGGGGGTTGGAACTAGATGATCTTAAGGTCCTTTCCAACCCTAACTATTCTATGATTCTATGACTCTAAGTGTTCAAGCTCAACTGTTATATGTTTACAGGCAGATGTAGAGAAGGGAAAATTCAGTCTTCAACAGCAACTTGACTGTGTCTGTAGAGGAAACTACCAGCACATATGAAAGTCGCATATCGTATCCTACTTGACCATACCTAGCAAAGGACTTATAGCTCTTAATTGATGGGCATCTCTTCCTCTATTCTACCACTTTAGATCTTCTGAGCACCAGGCTACAAATCTACCTGGTTTCTTCCCCGCTTCTCTCTCAGCAGTACTGTGAGGAATTACAAAGTACACACCTGCCCTTGTCTCAGCTTCTCAAGCGTGGCTACACAAAAAGGGGGAACTTTGCAGGCGATATTCTTACATTAGTCTTCTGCCTGGTCACATTAACTTGCCCATGATCTATTTCTACAAGAGTACTTATGACAGTAAGCATTATGTCCAGTAATAAATGCTTATGAGGTCAAGACAACATTTAAGATTAAATTCACCCAGAACCATAACTGGTCATGTTCTCATCTGTATCTCAAACAAAGGTGTCCCACTAATGCCACATAGGCCACTCCGAATTAGACAAGTACAATTTTAAGAACACATACTAAATAACCTTAGCTTTAAATCTGCACAGCCAGAACAGAAAGGATACTTAAGAGTAAGAAGGTTAATGGGTATCCCAGAGTTTTCCGTGACAAATGGCCGTGAACATATATCTTCATAATTATAGAAGAAAGCTTCTGAGATTTTCTTTTCTCCCTGGTCAGGCTTTTTTTGTGCCTCCAAAAGTTCTTCACTATTATCTTGCTCTTCGAATTCACCTTCTGCACCTCAGAAGTGGGAACATAACAGAAATTTATATTCAACGCAATTTTAGACTCCTTGCTGATATTTGCACCTAATTGCAGAAAGGAAGGATTCACACACTCCTTGCCTCCTTCAACAGAGTAATAAGCACTCCATAGCTCAAAATAAGGAAAACATCTTAGTAACAACTTGTCTTGGAGCAGTCTGTAATAAGTTCTCCCTCGTCTTTTAAAAATATTACTGTGTATATTTGAAAATGAAGAAACCAAATAATGTTTAAAGTGTCTATTTTTCAGTAGCTAATTAATACATATCCTTATTCAAAACAATGAATAAAAATTATAGAAAAATGCACATAAAACAGACCACAAGAAGACACCATTGTCCTCAAAAAGGCATATTGCTAATGTGTGACCTAGTGTAGCTCTTCACTGGACTGCAAGGCAGAATACAGTCAACTTGACTTCCAACTAGTCACAAGCACTTGTTAAAGGCACTTTTCGGTCTGATGCCTCAGATGAAATGCCCTTTACTTATTTTATAAGCTTTTTACCTTGTCTTGATATTTTGGGGGTTTTGTGGTTTGTTTTGTTTGGGTTTTTTTTTTGGCTCCTAGGCATTCTATGAAAAATAATGAAAGGGGTCATGAAAAAGAGCAAAAGTACATGAGGTAAGCCAACTAAAAGAGAGCAGAGAAACTCAATTACTGTACTTTGAGGCACTGGTCTGAGATGCTGTTCATAACAATAACAGTGAAAAAATGAAAACTAGAAAGCACTGGGGGTTTTAAGTTTGTGCCATCATCTCTTCAGTGGAAAGCAGTACTCACCAACGCTCCCATGGTCTGATTCCACTTGTTCCACAACTTCCTCTTCTTCCTCTGCAGTTCGGGATTCCTCTGGAAGACTTGTTTTGTTTTCTTCTGTGAAGGACAAGTGGGATCACTCTCTTAGGTATGAATTCTTTTGACTAATTTGCTCATATATGCTAGGCAGTAATTTTAAAAAGTCCTTTTTGTCCAACAAGGGACTTCCTGCTGTTTAGCATTAAGCGTAGGGAGAATTTGCTTTCACAAAAAACCCGTAATTTAAAACAGGGGAAGGAAAGAAACACTTCCTATAAGAGGAAAAAAAAGTATAATGGGAAGATCAAAAAAAATGCTGAAAAGAATGTGTCAATATAAGCATCAAAAAATCCTTCCAGAGTTCCAAAGGAGACTCACAGTGTCACTTATTCTTTACTTCAGGAGAAATTGTCTTATGTGTTACTCCTCTGCTTGTCTTTATTTCACATGAAGGAACTCAGTTCACCCCATGACTTTGTTTTGCTTTCTTGCTTCCAATTCTGACTCATCTTAGCACCATACTATGAGCCTTATGAGCTAGTCTATGCTATCTTTCTGGCCTGAGGTTAGTGCTGCCCTAAAAAAACAACTGCAAGTTTTAGCTATCATGAGGGGTATCTGCCATGAGGAATTACATACTAATCATCTGTTCCAGGCTGTGTCATCTTCTTCTCGTTTAATTTGGATTAACTCTGGATTTCTTCCCATCTGCCAAGTTTTGCTTCTTAACTTATCTTCAGATGCAGTCCATAGATACAGTCCCTTCAGATACAACAGGTTTTACCTGAGTCTTCCTTTTCTTTATGAAAAACAGCATGCCATTGAATAACTCTCTCAGCATTGTTTTTAGCCTTCAGATGACAGAGAGTATCAGCAATTTACTGGGCTGCAGATGACAGCAACATGTTTAAGCAGCGGAGTTTTGCAAAACTTACTTGCATTCAAAAAACAAAAATCAAAAAAATCTTTCAGTGCTTCTAGACACAGCAAAATATCCAAGTGTAAATCGGGCACAGCTATCCAGTACTGCCTGTGTATTGTTATCAGTCAGCATTACAACAATAAAAGTAGTAATCATAAAAGTCAGTCTTAGGCAATCAATCCCAAGCAAGAATATTTTTGTACTAAAGAATATTACTGTCTCTCTCTTACAACAGCTACAAGACTTGAGAGCAAGGAGAATAACAGAAGACATCAATTCTCACAGCAGTTAAGTATATAAAATATTTACTAGGCAGGGACAGAGACAGGAAAGATAAAGCTACAAAGCAGGGTCTAGACATATAATCTTTCTTGCAGCTCCATTGTCTCTTTTTTTCACCTAACCAGAGAACAGGCATGAACAGAAGAGCCCTGCTTAGAACCTGAATCTAATTTCCAACCTTACAACTAAAGCAGTCCTCTGTGCGATCAAGATGTCCTAGCTCTGCCTCATGCAAGCAAAAGTTTCAAGTCTCTGAAAGTCTGCCTGGTGAGTAAGGGTTACTAAGTTTTTATTGAGCAGAAACTAAAACAGGTGACATCAGCACAGTTACTTATTAACTTACAGTGTAAAGGAAAACCATAAAAACGAACATGAGAACACTGCCACAGTATCAACAGTATTAGAATCAACTGTCTCACACATGGTAAAGCAGAACCAAGTCCCACATTTCAAATGAAGTACAAGGTGGTCTATCTCAGCTGCAGATAACATTCATTCCTGTTTCACTTTTCTGAAGCTGAGCAGTATTCTTTTATTCTCTACATGAGCTTAAAGGCTTTTCTTTCCTAAAAGCTTCTGTGTAGGAAGACTGGTCCCACATAAACTCCATCACACAAGCCTGATAGCACTGGCCTCACACAGGGTTGCAGGCCCTTCCTCTTCCAAGGCCACCTTCCAGCTGGACACCAGGAAAAGGCCACAGCGAGGCAGAAGCCCCCCGTGACAAACTGCTTTGTGGGGGACATCAAAGGGCAAACGGGGAACCCCTGGAGCTCCGCAGAGAGAACAGGGGAGGGAGCCTCTGAGGGGCCATGGAGAGGGTGCCACAGAGGAGAGCAGGGAGCAGATGCCCCGGTTGAGGGGGACAGGTCCATGGGCCTGCGGGCACCCCGAGGGCCGAAGCGAAGCCGCGTGGGACCGGAACGGGCCCGGGCGCTGACCCTTCCCCAGCACTCCGTACCTGGGGCCGCCTCCATCGCGGCGTTACCGGTTTCCAGGCAACCGGCCCCGCGGCGCCCAGGCAGGCAGCTCGGCGGGGCTGGCGCGGAGCGGTGCGCGCATGCGTAGGTCCGTGGGTCCGGCAGGCGGTGATCGGCCCCGGTTAGCCCAGCGGGGCTGAGGGGCAGCCGCGGTTACGACTCCGTCGCGCACTGGGGGGGTGGTCAGTTTGCTTGTTTGTGGTTTTTAAGTAACAACTCTTTTGGGCACCGTTGCGCTCATTTCAAAACTCAGCTGGAAAATGAGACGAATTCCCTGAACTTACTGCCCACACGACGGGCAAGTGCTCCCGCGCTCCGGTCGGTTACGGCGGTATTTCCCAGGCGGCAGAGCTCGGTGTCCGTATCTCCACATACACCTGTGTGCACATCACATACATATATATAGATATATAAACAGTTTCTGAAGTTGGCAGCTGGTATTTGCCTGGCTTTGCGGCGAAGGGTGCAGGTGTCGGTGAGAGGCGGGCGGGCGGCCACTGAGGGGCCGCGGAGGGAGGGGACTGCAGCCGGCGGCAACGCCCTGCCCTGGGACAGGTGCCACGGGAAGGGGAGGGCCTGTGGGCGCGGGCGGAGGAGGCCGCGACATGTCCCCGCGCGGGCGCTGCCGGTGGGCGCTGCTGCTGGCCTGGCTGCCGGCCGGTGAGTGGGGCCAGAGTGGCGGCGGAGTCACGGCACCCTTCGGGCACCCACCCGCCCTGGGGCACGCCTGTGGCACCGCGGACCGGAAGGCGCCCTCGGGTTTTGCCCGGGGTTAACGTGGTGGGGAGGGATGGCGGCCCCGCCGTGAGGGAAAGGGGCAGCCTGGTCCGGGCGGGCGTTGTTTCCCCCATGGTGAACTACGCTGCCGGGCGGAGGAGCGGGGTTCTCCCGAGCTCAGTACAAAAGCCCTCCGGAGAGGAGTTTCGTTACCCCAGAGGTGCGGCTACCTGTTGTCCTAGGAGGAAGTGGCCGCCTGCTTCCTGGCAGCCTCCGGTGTCGCTTTGTGTGCGGCCAGCGTGGTTTGGACCTGAGCACAAGAGGCAAACACGGAGGGGTTCCCCTCTGGCTTGTCACAAGCGCCCACCTCAGCCTCTATGGGCATCTGGTGTGGCTGCAGTGCTGCCGTAGCTGCTAGGTACATGTACGGAGAGCAGGAGCTCACCTTCGTGTCCACAGGCGGCCTTCGGCAAGCAGAATCCTTTCTGGCAAGCTTTGCAGGTTGCCCAACTGCTTCTGATCTGTAGGAAATAAAATGGTCGGTTTGCTTCTTGGATGCCTGGGTCTTTGCTGGTGATTTAGATTTAAAACTAAAAGTTAGCTTTAAAACCAAAACCAACGTTGAGTTTTTCACAGAAAACCAGTAACAGAGGCAAAGAAGTACGTAGGTGTACTTGTTGATTGTCTTTCCTGACAGCTGTGTTCCTCATGATGTTCTGGCTAAAATTTGGCTTCACTGGCTCTGAAGATTAGTGTCTTCAATGCAAAGCCATAGGCCTGAGATAGCTGTAACTTTCAAGGTTGGTAGTGTCCAGGTTTGCTCTTTCCAGCCAGGATAGCAGCATCTGGTGGAGTAATGCAGTCCAAATTTAGAAACCAGCCTTAATGCCACAACTTTTTAGTTTTCTTGGAGGAGGTTGGTATGAAACATCAGACGTGCATTGACATCAGACTGTCCTCCGGTGGGAACAGTAGGTTTTAAACCTCTTTAGAAAATAAGGAACTTAATCTTTCAACTCTGTTTCTTTTTCAGAACAGGTTTCTGTAAGTGAAAAGCATATAGTGATTTTGAGTATTTTATTTTTGCTGGAAGGATGCTGCTGTAGGAAATCCATGGATAACCTGTTATGTTTACATGAGCCTCAACAGGTCAGATAGAATTCATATGGAAATTAATTTGACTGACAAGGAGATCAGGGTTTTGCCAGGTTGAGAGTTTGATTTTTGGATTGACTTCTTGTGGTTTCCCACAGTAAGATCCTGTGGGTCAGCTATTTCACAATGAAAGCTGAAACAAGATCTGTTGAAGCACAGTGCTCTTAAATAAGAGCAACTGTAAACACCCATTACTAGTATGGAACTTTGCTACAGCATTGTGAAAAACTAGAGATCCTTTGGGGTTTTAGAGGTTTGTATGGCTGCTAGTACTTCTAGCATGTATATTTTATTTCTCAGGAAAGCCTTGGACTCAGAGTTTACTCTGGTCCTCTCTGTTTATGTGGTATTTTTAAGGCAAATGAGTTCACTCTGCCTGTGCTTTTGAGTTGGCTGACCAGCTGCCCATTTCAAACCAAAACCTGAGCAAGTACTGCATTCACAACATCCTACTGCAGACTTACTTGTGGCATCAGTGTTGCACCTCTGCAGCATGTTTTCCACCAGGTGGAAACTGGGTGAGCCTGGAATGTACTGCGGAGGTGCAGCCTAAGAGGACACTGAAAGAATGATGCTTGCAGTTGCAATCCAGAGGTTATTACATACTTCCTTGTTCTCTTGCTCTCATCCTGAAACATGGAATAGAGGGAAAATCTTTGAATAGCAACAAAATCCCAAGTGTTGGTTCATGGAGACCCTTTCAGTTGGTACCTTCCAAGCATCTCCATTTCCTTCCCTCCTTTCCTGCTGCTGTGTTCCCCAGTTAAGAAGCAACTAGCATAGCACTGCAACCCCCCACTGTTCTCCTGGGTATATTCCAGAGAGGGCATCACACATTTGCTCCACATTGTTTGTATTCACTTATCAAAGGCAGCTGGTGATAACTTCGCTATTGTTAACAACGAGCGCAACTTACTGTATTATCAAAGTTTAAATAAGATAGAGGTGTCTCTGAGTGTGGCTAAAATAAAGCATAGCTTACGAGAAACTTTGTACAACTTTCTTCAGTGGTTGCAGCTGCTTGAATGTGCTGTTCTGAACTAGTAGAAAACAGATTAACTGATGTTACGGCCCAAAAGTTGTATTGTCTTATTCCTGGTCACATTCTGATGACTGTCTTAGCAAGACCGTGATAAAATTTATTTGGTACTTTTATGAAAGGATGGCACTGCAGAACTTTTCTGTTAGGCTGACAAGCCAAAGCAATCCCATCCTGTGTGTTTCTGGGCCCAATGAATGATCTTCCTCAGCTTGGAGGGACAGTTTTCCTCCTGCAGAAGGAGAGTACAGGCTCATGTGCTACATACTGGCTGTTAATAGTTGCTTTGGAGAGAATAATTTAGTCCATAAGGAAGGACAATGCAGCTGGCTCAAGCTGCCTTCTGCCAGGGAAAGATTGGACTCACATTCTAACCAGGGTTTGTAACTCTGGATGGCTTCACCAGAGAAACTGATGAGGTCCATAGCTGCAGGTCCCGGATGACGCCGAGGGAGATATACTTTGATTGTTGGTCTGGTGCAGTGAAAACTGTGATGTAAGGTCTGTTCTTGCCAGCTGACCGCCTTCTGTGTTCTCATTTGCAGGTTGCCTCTCCCTCCTGGTGACAGTGCAGGATGCTGAGCGTTATACCACCTTATTTGCCACTGTCATCCTCAAGTGTGACTATAGCACCTCAGCTCAGCTGCAAGATGTGGTGGTGACCTGGCGCTTCAAATCCTTCTGCAAAGACCCCATCTTTGACTACTACTCAGCCTGTAAGTGTTAGGTTTGTCCTCCAAGGAGTACTGCTACAAACAGACAGGAAGGGAAGGGTAGACTTCCTGGATAATACAGGCTTTTGACCTCTTCCTGCCCACAAACCAGGTCAGGTAGTGGTATTTCCCTGTGCTCCAAGAAAAAATGTCTGTGATTTCCTTTGCAATGTTAAGGCTTTCTGATATGATGTAGAAATCCCAGCCAGAGCAGCGTATTTGTCCTCCTTGTCAGAGGAGGCAGAGAGTTTCAGCCGTGTTGGACACATGTCAATCTTGCCAGCTGCCTCATGCTTCAGCATGTTTCAAAGCAAGGGTCCTGCAGCAAGTGGACTTCATTTTTCCGTGGCAGACCCCATGGTTGGAGCTAGATACCAGTGACCAGATGTTACTGATTTTAGAAAGTATAAGAAACGTGCATTTTGGAGGGCAGAAAGACTTCTAAATCATAACATTTAGTAGTGGTGGCAGCACTTTCACGTGCAGACATTCTGGTGTGTGCAGCCTTAATTCAGGAGTTTTTAAGATGGTTCTTGAAAGATGGTACGCAGACTGTATCCTGGGGTGCGTCAAACTCCATATAACCAGACGGTCAAAAGAGTTTATGATCTCACTGTATTTAACATTAGTGTGGCCTCACCTTGAGTATTGTGTGCAGTTCTGGGATTCACGGTTTAAGAAAAATGTTAAGATACTTGAATGCAACCAGAGGATGGCAACAAAGCTGGTGAAAGGGCTGGAAAGCATGTCCTATGAGGAACAGCTGAGGACTTCAGGTTTGTCTAGTTCAGACAAAAGGAGTCTGAGGGGCAACCTTACTGCTCTTTGCAGCTTCCTGGGCAGAGAAGTTGGAGAGGGAGGCGCTGAGCTCTTCTCCCTGGTATCCAGTGATAGGATGTGTGGGAATGGTTCAAAAGCTGTGTCAGGGGAGGTTCAGGCTTAACATTAGGAAATATTTCTTTGGCTTCCTAGAGAGGTGGTGAATGTCCCAAGCCTGCCACTGTTTAAAAGACTTTTGGACAATGCCCTTAATAATATGCTTTAACTTTTGATCAGCCCTGAAGTGGTCAAGCAGTTGGACTTAGATGACCATTGTAGGTCCCTTCCAACTGAAGGAAAACTATTTTTTATAAACCCTGCAGTCTGTTTAAGCTGGCCAACCTTAGATTAATGGCACACTTAAGAATGAGGTCAGAGTGGGGAGCCTGGACTTGTTTGGTGTCTTGGTGCCCAAACTCTCCTTTATGCAGTCTGGATGGTTTGTGTAGTGCTCTGCAGCCTAGTCCGCAAGCAGGTGGGTCCCTGGCTTTCCTGATCCCAGGATAATGTGAGTGCTTTGGGCCCACGCTTAAGCTAATAGCCTCCAGCAGGGACAGAAAGCATGAGGGTCACAGTGTTTGCTTAGTTGGGTCTGTTCTTCCTGATCCGTTGGAGATATAGCAATGGAGGAGCCTTTGACAAGGTTTGTCTTCTCGTCTTTTCATTTCAAGCCCTTTACAGACAGGGCTGACTGTATCAGTTGTCTCCACAAATCTCAGCTCCCAAATACCTGGAATTTCAATGTTAGTTTATATTGTGAGTCTGCCGTAGGAGTATTGCACAAAAAATGCCCATGGTCCTCCATTGTTAGGTGTCTCTATGCATAATCCTTAGCTGGAGTCAGATGATGGATTCTTTTCTGTCTTTATGAGCTCCGCAACATCTAATGGGATACAGCAGGGAAAGGGAGACAATCCCTACAGCAGTTTGTGTATGTCTGGAGATTTTGTTTGGTAAATAATCACACTTTTGTTTTAGTTCCAGTACTCCTGGGAGTCTTAGGACTTTTTTCCTTGCAGTTTATCTTCATACTGGGAGCTGCCCTCCAGCCTACCACCATTAGCTTCTTTCTACTGTTGTTCTTTCAGTTGTGAGTAAGGGAGGCATCTCTTCTGCAGCTCCTGTATTCTCGAAAGCTGTTGTTCCAGTGGCTGTACCTCTCTCTGCTTTTGAGTACTTCAAAGCAACTTTTCTTTGCTGGTCTGAAACCATGCTTGCTTTTACTAAACCAAAGCAAATGCACATATGCATGCAGGAGTTTTCTCTACTTTTCAAGGGGATAGAAATTGGTCCTTTGAAATAACTTTTGGCATCTTACTTGATGTGTGTTTATAGCATACCAGGCTGGTTTAAATCTTCACCAGGACCCATCTACTGACTGCAATGACAGCCAGCGAGAGGTGCGCATTGTCATCCAGAAATATGGGCAGAAGGAACCTGTGCTGGGTGTTGACTATCAGCAACGAAAAATCACCATTCAGAACCGTAAGTGACTTCACCTCCAGGCAGGCAGCAAACTCAGTAACTATCCAGTATCTGGGCCTGTTAAGTGAAGAGAAGCATAATCAGGGCTGATGTCATCTGTAGCTTACACATTCTGTGAGGTGGCAGTGGAATAAGAGCTATGAAGGGCTGGCCTGAGGGTGTTGGAAGCACTACAAGCGAAGGCTGAGATGAGGATACCTGAGCATTTTGCTGAAGAACACAGAAGTAAGCTAAGGAGCTCAAAGGCTAGAAAACAGTTACTTTTATGAAGTACTGCATAATTGTCCAGGTGTATTATATGCCCTGGGCTGTCCCTGGAACAATACCTGTTACTCCTGCCAGAAGAGTTACTGGGTTGGCTGGCCTAACAGAGGACAGTGATTTGTGTTCCAAAACCTAGGGCTGGCAGTTGGCAGCAGCCAGTTATCTTAGCATCCATCATCCAGCAGCATGCTGGTTATTTCACTCCACAGAGAACTAGTCCCACTTCTAAGTAGTGTTTGCCTTCCAGCAACACAAAGAAAAAAGGGACTAGCAGTTAATGCTGTTTACAGGAGTTCTTAATGGACTCAAATGGGATTGTTTGAAGGTGATGTCTACGCTTGGGAAGAGGGGAGATGCAGTACTGTATGTCACCTGCAGGCAGAAAGCCCTCTTAAAGTGAGGCCTGAAAGTAGTGTCTGTCAGTGCCAAACAGCCTACTGATCTCTCAGTCCCTCTCCCACAGGGGCAGACCTTGTCATCAGTGAGGTCATGTGGTGGGACCATGGCGTGTACTACTGCACTGTGGAAGCTCCAGGAGATACCTCGGGTGATATGGACAAAGAAGTTAAGCTGATTGTTCTCCGTAAGTGCCTGTGTTTTTCTGCCTGGGTGGTAGATATCTCCTATTCTCTTCCTCCCCATCCCAAGATGTCTCCAGCAGAGGAGAGGTGCTGAATAATTTGCTATGCCCAGGTACATGAGCATCCTCTTTCTCTCTCTGTTTTTCCCACAGACTGGCTCACAGTAATCCTCATCGTTCTCGGTGGCCTTCTCCTCCTTCTGCTGATTGGAGTATGCTGGTGCCAGTGCTGCCCCCAATATTGCTGCTGCCACATCCCGTGTGTCTGCTGCCCTACCCGGTGCTGCTGTAATGAGGAAGGTGAGGTTCCAGCAAATGTGTGTCCATTCACAGTTTCTGTCAAGACAAAAGCTTGACTGGGATCTTGCTGAGGTCCACTTTCTCCCTCCAGTTCAGTGTCCATATAGACTGTGATATTTCTTTGGCAATGTGACCACTACGACCAGCTTATCTGAGTTTAGAGGACGGGAGCTAGGATACATGGAGCCCATCTTGCTACTCTGTGTCCTACTTTAAGAAGTTGCTCCTCACTCACACCTTCCCTCTAACTTACCTCATTTCATCCAGGGCACCATCAGCTCCCTTGTACAAGTAGCTCAGGACTTTTCTTCCTTGTCTTGTGGCTCATATGCCTGTGCATGTGAGGAGGACAAGCAAATGCTGTGGTGTTACTCTTCAAACAGGCCTAACCTACAGGTGTGTTGCTCTGAGAGGACTTTACGTGAAAAGTTGAATTTTCTATTTGAATGCTATTTCAGAGCTGCTCCTTCCACAAGAAAAAGGTTTTGTTTGGTTTTATTTGGGGAAGGAAGTGAGGAGAAAGAAAGGAGAAAGATGGTCTCTCTTGGTGCAAATGCATTTGCAAATGAATTCTGAGGGTCAAGAGAAACTTTCTCATGTGTCATTTTTAGCAGTAATAAAGATTCTGCAGCAAGACCCTGTTCTCTTAATAAGGCCACCATTTTAATTTTGGCTGCTAAGGTCATAGAACCTCTGTGTTCCTGTAACTGACACTTAGCAGCAACACAAAGCAGACTAGCCCCTCTGCAGCTTACACAAACTGAGAGCAACAAATTGCAAAAAATACATTTATTTATCACTGAAATAACCAGGTTCTTCCCCAGATGCTACAAGAAGGGGATTTATGAACAAGGAGCTCTGTTTCTGATTTCCTTTTACCTGCAAAAGAGCTAATTGCTGTACCTTGGGTGTTTATACGTTGTGACAGTTTTAGATTTAAGCTTAATTTGCTTAGCCTTTGCAAAAAGCAAACAGAGCATCCCTCTTATTGCTAAAAACAAATCAAAACACTTTCTGGGGGCTCTGCAGGCTGTCGAGTGAAATGCGTAGTGTTGAGGCTATGGAAATTTGACAGAAAAATTAGTCGCTATGAAGGGAGAGAGAAGTGATGGAGATGAAAGACACGTATCTTCAGACTTCTAGTTCTCATCAAAAAAGGGATTCAGAATATGTGCGGGCTCCTTTTTGGTTTTCTGTGCTGTAGGAGATGATAGCGTACTCCAGACTGCTTCTGTTGTCTTTCGTCTCTCCTGTTGAGGATAGGTAGGAGGGATTCTTATGCGGTTTCCTGCTCATGAGTAAAGTACAGATGAGTCCAGTCTGCTTGACTGACTGCTGGATTCTTTGGCTTTAATTTTTATTCCAGCTGCCTGCCATCTTTATCTGGTTTGCAAGGGATCCTCGTGCCTGCACCCCTCCTCTAGTGCACCTTCACTTCATCCTGCTTTTGACTTACTTTTTTGCAAGTCACCCAAGAAAGATTGATACAGGGGTTCCTGAGGAATAACAGTTCCATACAGCTGAAGAGAAGGCAGAAATCCTAAAGAAAGTCTCATGAGTTATAGTGCGAGCCAGGTACGGGTGATTTCTTCCCAGTTACTGGCCACTAGAGGGTAGCCTGGATCTGCTGAACAGTCATTCATGCCATCGAGGCAGTATAATTCTGGGTGGTTTAAGTCAGGTCATTAACGAACATGGTTTTGAACCTAGCAATAAGACAAGTGCATTGTCTGGGTAATTCGGAATTGGTGTACAGAAATACTAAACATTTCCCATGGAAAGCTCTGAGAAAAGCTCACCAGGGTAAATGACCAGGGTATGACCTCCTTCTGTTCTATTAGTTTCTTTTCTACTGTGGACTTCTTCCACTAATGAATTGATGCAAAATAGGGTATACTTGCACCTGGGTCTGACTAGGTTGGAAAACATTGACTTTTTTTTTATATAATTGGATAAATGGTCCAGCAGCTATAAAGTCTGTCAAAGGTGAAGAGCAACCTCTCTCAGCGGGGAGTAAGTGGAGGGAACAACATGACATTTTGCCGAAGTCTTACAGCAGTAGGTAGGTATAGGTATCAATTTATAAGTGTCAGTTTTGGAATTCAGGTGAATCTGACTTTCCACAGATAAATATGTGCACTTTAAAAAAGAGATCTGTAACTTCCGTTTTTCAGGTAGGAATGAGAGTATATATCAGTTCAAACTGGAAGGCAAAGTATCTGTGGAAGGAAGAAAGGATGAAGGTAGTGAAGGAGGTCTGAGGGTAGTACTGCACTTGTCCAGCTGTAGGAAGAGATCAGAGAATTACAGGGACAGGATGACTTTGGTTGTAGTGACTGTCTTCATACCCTAAAGAGGGGAACCCTGAAGTAGATTTGCCCACAGTTGCTGAGCCTTTTACTCCTTGGGCAAAGACTGTGGTCAGCAGGTTCTAGGACATTCTCAAGCTGATAACTGGAGGAACAGAAGAGAAAGAGATAAGGCCTTTTCCTTCTTTTTATCCTTTTTTGTTTTCCTCTTTCTCTCTTCCTCTAAGTTTGAAACCAAAACTGGAGGGAAATCCCATGGGGAAGAAAAAAATAACAATACAAATTTGACATAAAATGCTTGAAATCTGCTACTTAAGGCCACACATCTTTGAAGAAAAATCAAAGTATTAAGATTAAACCCCCCAAAATTTCCAGCTTTGCAATTCACTCTGGTTGGAGCCAGGCTGGGGAGAGAAGGAGATTTTGAAGTGGAGAATGAAGTGGAGCTGCATGAACTGTGGGAAAAGGGAAGGATGTGTTGAGGGGCATGGTTGGTCACTGTTTTGCTACAAGAGGTGCTCTGTATTCAGTGAACCAGCTAAAGGAGGACATTTTTAATAACTGGAGTGCTACCTGAAATGAAGAGCTCAGGCCCAAAGAGCGTGCAGGCTAAATGCTGCCTGCTGCAGTTGAACCCAAGGGATAGAATTAACTGGAGCTTAGCTGTAGCCTGGTTTCTCAAGGAAGCAAGGCTTATGCAGTCAACCTGTCTGTCTGTCCCCTATCTCTTTCCTTCCAGTAGCTTTTAATTTCATCAGCCAGATTTATCAGAGGGGTAAAAGTCTCAAAGGCAGTTACGCTCCTATCTGTCTGCTGAACTGAATAGCCAGGAATGTTCTGGTCCTGCCTGACCAGAGAAGAGACTGCAGTAAAAGCCTGCCACTTCTAAAACTCCAGAGGAGGCATATAAAAGAAATCTTGCAAAAGCCCAAAAGCTCTGTTGCAGAAAACCTTCACCCGGTAATGACAGACAAACCATGTAGAGTCAGGCTTCGCAAAGCCTGGGACTTGTAGAATTTTCTTGCTCAGAAACTTAAGTTTTGATTGTCCATGCTAGAAGTAAGTTTCTGTAAGATGTTTTTAGGTATTCCCAAAAAAGAAGCAGCAGTAAGCGAAGACAGGGAAGGTGAGGTTGTCTGTAGAGGAGGTGAGATGGAAATGCTGCAAAAAGCGAAGTGGAATTGGAGCCTGACCCCACGAGTAGGGGTCTGCAGTTAGCACTAGTGGGCAATCTGAGGGAGACAAATTTCCACTGAGTTTGGTCATTTGGCACACTGGCCATTGATGTTGAGAACAGGAAACTCAGTTTGTTCACCGGTTTGACCATACCTTCATAATTTTAGCAGTCATGCTGAGGTAAACTACAGAAAGAGACAAGAATGGTTGAAAGACTGAAAAGGGAGAAGCTGGACAGTGCATGTCTGAGTGCCCTGTTTGCGGAACAGAGAAGAAATGATGGAGTATGGTGTGGAAAGTATGATCTGGGCAGAGCCTACATGAAGGTGGCAAAACAAAGATCGTGTTTAGCTTAAATCAAAGCCAAAAGGGGAAAGGACCAATGATGAGCTGAAAGAGTTTTAAGAGAGAGAAAACTATAGCCTTGCTGTATGAAACATTATTTCCTGCCTTTCCAAAACTGTACTCATAATGACAGGGCAGGTGGAAGTCTTGCCTTTGGTTATGTGCTGCGTACTTTAATCATAGTGCCATTTGTCCCCAATTGCTGGAATTGTACCCTGAATGTCAGGTGGTAACCCTTTTCTTCTGTTTTATGTATCTTTTTGAAGCTGTACAACTTTGTATTGGCATTCCCTGTACTCTACTTTACCTTTGTGGGGTGGAAAGAGCTTTTCATTCTATGAATTTCCTATATCTGATCACATCCAAAGTCTACAGTCTTTATGCAAAATGGTGTGTGATCTGCAAGCTGTGCTCTCTGGACAGCTACTGTAAGCTTTCTTCTTCTTCATTTACAGCACTGGAACGGTACAGGATCATGAAGCAGGCTCAGGCACTTGCACCTTGGATATCACCCAACATGTTCTACAGAGGTGGCGACAGGAACTCGCAACTTTCTTCTTACCAGCTGAACCCTCTACTGCAACGAGGTGAGACCGTAGGTGTCATTTCAGAGGCAAATTGGGGTGAGAAACAGGTAACTTTTGGGGGAGGTTCAGCAGTGAATCTTTAGTCTATTACAAGAGATGTTCCTAGCATGACTGTGTGTCCTAGCATGACAGCTCTGCTACATCTGAGTGTACTATAGACTTGCCTGGGTGTCTTGCTAGGCTCAGTGCTTGGTGAAGTAGTTTAATGCTAACTAAACTGTATCTGTGCTACACCCTAGTGACTGCAGGGTAAATATACCCAGCTTATCTTGCTTCATGTGGTAGAGGAGGGTACCGTTTCTTTGTTCTGTTGTACTGGTCACGGTCAACTCCTTATAGCCAAAATTGACATGACAAGTGAGGTGCAGTTTGTTTGAGTTCTTATCAAATGTCTAGTCTTTAAATGATTAAGGGCAAACTGCCTTCTGTGCAATAGACCTAGCCAGCATGCAGCAAAAAATGAAGAACTCTTTAATAAGCCAGGCAGAATTTTCCAGTTGTTCTGCCCCAGAATCACTTGTATTTGTGTATTTGTAACTTTAATAGAGGAGGGAAGACAGAGTCTCTGAAGTCCCAGAGAAATAAGTAATAAAATAACTTATTGCCAGTAATATTATTTAATCACCAAGGAAAATATGGGATTTTAAAATAACAACTTCTCAGATAAATGTAAAATATTTTTCATCTAAAATTAAGTTTTTGATCATGATACAGCACTCACAGATTTCCTTTGTGTCTGATGAGTCTTAACTGTTGTTTGAAGAAATAATTTGCAAACATCTTAAATATTAGATTCAAGATGTCTGAGTATATACTTTTTTAGTCCAGTAATTAATTATACAGTTACCATTTTTCCTAGTTAGGGCACCAGTTTTTCTTAAGGAGATCTGGTGACTGAGCTACCATGATTTAAGACAGAATACACTGAGTCTTCTTAAGGAAGTCCATGCTAGCAGAAAATGGGCGAGTACATTCCTTGGCAGTTTCTTAGCCGGTGTTTTCCACAGGCCTTGAATCTCCTGTGCTTAAGTTTCCCTTAAATTTGTTTCAAGTCAGCTTTTTACAGATGTTGGCTAGAAGGGACCTCTAAGGTCATCTGGGCCTACCTCTTCCTCAGAGCAGGACTATTACCAACCCGTCACATTAGCTGTGGCTTTGTGCAGATGAGGACAGGTGTGCTGTATGACTGATTTCTTACCTTTGCTGCCCAAGAGACAGATCATGCTGCAGCTTACTAGTACTATTCTTTGCACCTTACCTTGTGTGGTCTGGATGTGCTGGTTGTAGTGCCTGAAACTTGTGCAGCTCTTGCATTGAGGAGGAGCAGGAGAAGAGAGGCTCAAAAGGGACTCAGCCAGGATCATGATTATTGTTTCCCCTTGACTTTCTCTGTGCTTCTGTGCTTTTATCCTTAGATGTGTCTCTGCAGAACAGTCTTCCACTGGTGCAGCCGCAAGCTCAGCTTTCCGCTAACAAGGGTGTTTTGGACTATCTGGAGTCTGAAATCCAAAACCTTAACGTGTCACAGCTCCAGCCACCCTCCCACCAGTGGCAGGCTGTGCAGCCCAGCCTGCTGTCCTCCCTGGGCTCTGAGATCATGCCACCTCTCACAGATCATATCTCCACCCATGGGAGCAGCAACTCTTCACGGCCACAGAGAGCTGCCCGTACCCTCAGAACCTGGGACTATGCAGAAGAGGACAAGAGGGAAAACCGGAGGTGGCCCTTGCCTTCCAGTGGGGGTTCTCATTCCAGCTACAGCCGGGAGCCCTGGGACAGGCAGCAAGAGGACCATCCACAGAGGCAGAGAGATGGCTACAATGGCAGGCCCCCACACTCCAGACGGGATGCGTCACCCCCACGCCAGGCTGACAGGGGCAGGGGCAGCAGCAGCAGCTGCAGTTTCTATCCGGAGGAGGCCAAGGAGCGCTCCGGCCATCACCGTGGTGGGAGGCAGGAGCCCACAGGGAGGCGAGACTACCAGCACCACACCAGCAGAAGCAATGGCTCAGGTCAGCGGCGGCACAGCTACTCTCCTCCCTCTCGCCAAGGGTCATGGAGCTCCTCAGAAGAGCAAGTTCATGTCCCGGTGACAAACCGCAAGCAGCGGTCCCGGTCTCGGGAATGGCCAGAAGATAAACCCCCCAGTTACCGCTCCTTAGAAATCATCCCAGGTCAGGACAAGAAGCACAAAGGCAGTGCAGGGCCACGCTCGGTGAGTCAGCTGCCTTTTCACTTTCTCGTCTAAGGGAAGAGATGGGTTTTGGGGAGTAAAAGTGAATGTTACTTTCTGCAGCCTGTTGGCTTTTCAAACAGAGGGTAAGGAGCACTGGGTGCCCTGCGCAGCTTGCCTACAAAGAGACGTGTTGTATGGCTATAGCATGTTTAGGGGCAAAGTAAGCAGTCAAAGCAGGTCCCTTATCACGTCCCACACTATGTGACATGTTATACACTCTCACTCCTGTCCCCACCTACAGTCACTTGGGGCTCTATGTATGCATTGGTGTTAGAATAGCTGTTCTGGCACTCTCGGGGGGAGAAAGCACTTCCAAGTAGGCAGCAATACTGAGTATCCTCTACAACCCTCTCTGGTGTTGGTTTATTTCTGATGTCTTCTAATATTTGCATGATTCTCCTATTATCTCCTGTATCTCCAGTATTTAATTTCTGTAGTATGTTGGTGATATTTCTAAGATGGTTCATATGGGAAAGTGTCCAGGTAAGAGGCGTGAAGCTACATGATACAGGCTTTAAGATCATGAGAGACTGTAGTGGTGAGAAATATGCCATCCTCCAAGCCAGGTGGAAGAGGATGGCTCCTGAGAGCTGAGCATGAATTATATGGGCACTGAACAGCTATTTTTCACAACTCATATTGTCAGTTTACACTGGAACTAGATTTCAGGTAGCAACCTAAGTGTGAGAAGCTTCATATCCAATTACTAGTCTCTAAGTTAGACAGTGTATTCCGCCTTTAAAAATTAAGGGGTTTTAAAATGAAAAAAATGTTAAGTGTCCTTTATCACATATATGCAGAATTTCACCTGGTGGGAGTCTTCTCAGAAGGCTGTATTTTGCACATTACCATTTTCCCTTCTGAGTTTTGGAAGGAATTGCAGTTCTAGTCCCAGCTCGGATGTGTATGTATATGAATGGGTTTGTTATGGTGATCAGAGCGGGTAGAAAAACATAATACTTCCATTCATCCTTCCTTGTTCCTGAACCTTTTCTTTTCTCTTGCAGGACAGAGGAAGTTCCCACAGTGGAAGAAGCATAGTCATTTAATGCCAGTAATGAAAGAACTAAGATTCTCACCGGACTCCTTAGATCCTTCTACTCTGTAGGTTGGGGTGCTGCTCTTGATTGAACAGACAACCAGCAAAAAACCCAAAAAAAACAGATAAAGCAGCTTTCCCTCAGACTTACGGCTCCAAAGGATCTTCGTCTAGTGCCCAGGAAAGCAAAACATAACCCATTTTTGTTCTCCCTGTGATTTGGAAACTTAGGTTTGCAATGGGCCATGGTCTGTTGGAAACAGCAGGTATTTTTCAGTAAATGGTATATCCCCAGTCTTTAAAGAGAGTCTTTGTTAGGTGCCCTGACACTGCAAGGAGCCCACTCCATAGAATGCTGGTCCTTTGCACACTGGTTACTGGAGAAGAGCTACAATGATTAGAATTAATGAATAGAATAATTTAGGTTAGAAGAGGCCTCCAAAGGTCACCTGATCCAGTCCCCTGGGAGTTTGGTGTAGAAAGGCACAGCATCTCCTTTGTGAGGTCCTCTGTTGTGCTTCAGAATATGTAATGTTTGGTGCTTCTGCTGGGCTGCTCAGCATAGCTGGGGCAGTTGCTTCCTTTTCTCTCCCAAACACAAGGATCACCGAGTTGGAAGGATGCTTGACTGCCTTAATAAGGGCTCACTAGCATGTCTGCAGCTTATCTGCCTTACACTGACTGAAACAACCTGTCCTACATTAAGTTTACACCTTAGGGCCTTAAAAGTCACTTATTCTGGCCTTTAAACCGGGCTTGAATTTAGTTGTAAACTTCAAGGGCTAAATTGACCAAGGTCTGGCCATCTCTACAGGAGCTGAGCTTGCTCAGTACTGACTACTGTCCCTCACGCTGTGGAGGGAATTTTCTTCAACTCTAGGAAGCATGGCTTTGGTGGGTGTATCTTGCCTAAGCCGTGTACTCTTCCATGCATTTTATATTCTCCCTTTGCTCTCTGTGCCATGTATCATATACATGGGGTGGTATAAAGGGCTCTGAAAATGTTTTACGGTCACCTTTTTTATTAATATCCTTGATCCTTACCCTGACACTTTAACCAGCTCCACATATGTTGTGCATCTGATGTGTAGCTAGACTGCAGGGATTTCTCATCTCTCACCTCTCAAATAGAATGGAGAATTTCTTTATACTCTTAAGACCAGCTGTGAAGGAGAAGAACTTGTCATTTATCCTTGATGTGATTCATCCACTGTTTTCATTTAAAACGTGCTGGAAAAGGAGAGGCTCTCTGGCTGCTGGCTGCTTCCACAGGAAACTGGTTTGCCAAAGGCACTTCTTAAGATTCCAGAGACTCAACTGTTGTCAGGGAGCTTTTGGAGCATCTTGTGCATTATTTTGTAACCCAGAGGCACTAGAGATTGGCCGTTATCAGTGACTGCATTTCCTAGCTTATTTCCCATCCAGTGCCACATAGGACACTTGCTACTGTGTGGTCTTTAATGTCCTAATTACTGATGTGCTTATACTTTCCCCTGGAAGACTGACAGGGAGAGGTTTTCACTTTGCCCACTTCCTTTTTTAATTTTCTTTGGACAGTGATGGGAAGCATCATGCTTGGAGCAAATGCTCCTGCCTGAATGCTCTGATGCAGTTACTGCTTGATCAAAGGCCACTACAAAGAATGCTCATTTTCCTACAGTTTCTTGGCTGACAGTGCTTATATCTAATTGTGTGTATGGAGGTAAAACAGGAGGACCCACTAGCTTCTCTGGCTGACTTTGTTTCAGAACCAGAGGCTTACTTTTGAAGACAGAGGGGCTGTTCATCAACAGTTGATGGCTAGCACAAATAAAAATGAGTGGAAACTCCTAAGTCTGAATTCAAGAAAGGAAGGCTGTATTAAGTGTAGTCCTTGTCTCCATTAAACCCAAACTATGAATAATGTAACTGACCCATGAGTTACATCTGAAATACATGGAATTAAGTATTGCATTAAGTATTAAGACTTGCAAAGCCAGTATCACTCTTGAATCTGGTTCTCAGCCACTGCCTGTCAATCACTTTTGTTCTTATTTAATGACATCCTGAGGACTTTATGCGCCCTGTCTTCTATGATGTGCTAGTATTTTTATTAGTTAGGAGGAGTTTATGGTGATGGAATGACAGAAAATAATATGGACTCCTCCTCCCAAAACTAGCATTCTGTTATGACTTTAGCATTGCCATGTGTCAACTTTTAGCAGATACCCAGGGCCCTGCAAATTCTACCCTTGGAAGCTAAACTGGTGGTTTGGAATTTGACTCTCTCCTTGTGCTTCCAATAGGGCCATGCATCATGCAGAACAGCTTCCTGTAATCTCAATCCATCCCAAATGTCCAGGTTTCAGGGAAGGGCTGCCCCGCTCTCCATCAAGAGAAGAGGGTATTGAGACATCAAGTGAGATTCCAAGATGTGTTCGCTTTCCTTAGCATTCAGTTGTGTATAAGCCAACATATATCCACCAAGTTTTCCCAAGAGCAAGAACTCCCTCACACAGCAAGAAGACTCTTGAAAAGAAAACCCAGATGACTCTGTGTAACAGTAGAAGCTGTTGAAGCTTCCTGTAGAATGAGCACACTAACTGTAGAGGTTGTGCTTTTATCCAAAATGCTGTGAAGGAGCCCTCCATCTTTATTTGTTCCTCTAGTCGCCATCATTGAGTTAGGGTGACCAGTTGGAGATCGTGTGAACTTAATTTGTGCTGGGTGAGGTCTGAAGAGTTTTTTCTTTATCCTACTGGAGATCCCCTTCAGTCACCTTGTTCATGTTTATAGAAACATTAAACAAACCTCTTCAGGGAAAATTGATTGTATCTCAGTCTTACCTTCTTAAATTGTGTTAGAAGTAGATTAGGTTATGCAGCAAGGAAGCAGAAATGGTACCAGGTTTACTGGTTTACATGGGTTTACACAGACCCACTGCGGTTTGTAAAACACCGGTTAGTAGGCATGAAATAGCGACAAAGGAAATGTATGTATTCGTGCTTTACAACTGCAACAGACAGAAAAGTGGGAAATTAAAAATTAGTATGTTTCACATATGGGAGTTATTGCCATTCTAGACTTTTAATCTTCCTGTCATGCACTTAAAGGGATATACCTTACCCCCAAGAATGAATTTTCTGTCTCAGATAAAAGTGCCTTGATGGCCACTGGAGTTGCCCTAATTTAAAATGAGTATGTAATGATTAAGTAACCATGCCACATGGGCAGATAAGGATGGCCGTGCCTCTCCTTGTCAGCTGTTTTCCACCTCAGACCAGAGAATCATAAGAGAGAGAAAAAATCACGTAATTTTAATTTGATTAAGAAAGGACTTGCAATATCTGGCTTTCTTGCTTATTTGCAGAACCCACTATCATTCTGGAATGCCGTTCCAGGAATGGAGGGCAGGGGCTGCTTCTTGTGTAATCATTGATCTGGTCTTGGCAAGTGCCTGTTTGGCAGTAGAAAGTGCTGAAAAGCCCAGTTGCTATCTCTGGGACTGTATTCGTGATAGCACTAGCTAAGGTTAGGCTAACTTCAGGTTGGGGGAAGTTACCTCGTGTGATACCAACCACAATGCAAAGCTCTTCAGTGGTACGTATTACTACATAGGGTAGCTAAGCCCCCTTTGTGTTACTACCTCCAGCAGCACATCAGTTTAAAACACCCACTTAATATGCTTAGTGCCTTCCATTTGTCGACCTGACACAGGAGAGAGATGACACTTGAGGTTGTATTAAATTAACCTCCACAAGTAGTGACTGCTTCTTGCTATTTCTGCTAAGTTTAATGCCTATAATGTGCCTTGTGCTGGTCTTCTGAATATTATTCCATCTATAAAAGCATATGGTAAGTGTGTAGATTCTTTTCAATGACTGTCAAATGCATAATTAAAATACAAGAGAACTTTCAACTAGTTGCTCTTGTGTGTTCTTCCTAGACCATAAATTGCTTTCTACTGCTTGCACCGTAAGTAGAACTGAAAATTATCTGTTCTTATTTCTGGAATTAACCTTGTTATATGTTGGTAAGAATTTTCTGTGATTTTTAGAACAAAAATGCAGAATGGTTTGATTGTATGGGGGATTTTGTTGTTGTTCTTGTTTTGGGATACTTTTTTCTTTGTTTTTCTAAGAAAGAATGTAGTTTGAATAAATACCAAGAGAATGGAAAAATGGCTGGGGAACCATTGGCAGCCCTCTAATGATGTGACCAGCTGTAACAATCGCTGACTTGGTTGCCATGTCTGTAAAACAAGAACACTTACTGTTTGGTGGTAAAGTAGTCTGAACTCCATGAGAAGAAAAGTCTTCTAGAAATTTTGATTGATTGATAAATGAAGATGCTGGTTGAGCTTTTCACACTTTCCACATGTGACAGTGACCTAGTAAGTAAATGGCTAACATAAGAATGGAGGTCTGTTTGGTCTCACATGGTAGGCTTAATTTATGCCTCATGTCCTCCCCACTCCCCTTAGCTACTACCCTATTGGACTCAGTGTTGGAGCCTTTCTGTCTCTTCCCCCTACTGCTCAGTGGTTACACGTGCCAAATACAGATGGTCAGCCAGACCGAAACGCCAACGGGCACTTGGAACTTGAGCTATGGAAAAACATGTCCTACAGTGGCAATGCAGCCACTTTCTAACCGGGACCAGGGAGCCTGGGGAGAAGCTATCATAGAATGGTTTGGGTTGTAAGCGACTTCTAGTGATCATTTCATCCATTCTGCCCCTGCCTTGGGCAGGGGTGTCTTTGACTAGATCAGGTAGCTCAAAGCCCCATCCAATCTGACACTTGAACACTTTCAATAACAGGGTTATTGGGCAACCTGTTCCAGTGTCTCACTATCCTTATCATAAAGAACTCTTCTTTATATTGGATTAAATCTACCCTCTTTCAGTTTAAAACTACCTCCCCTTGTCCTGTCACTAAGGCCTTGGTAAAAAGCCTTTGTCTTTCTTATATTCCCCCTCTATTGAAAGGCTGCCTTAAGGTTTCCGTGGAGCCTTCCCTTCTCCAGGATAAGTAAAACCAATTTTTTAAGCCTTTCTTCATAAAACAGGAGCCCCTCCAGCCCTCTGATATTTTTTTTGTGGCCCTCTGGACTCACTGTAATAGGCCCATGTCTTTCTTGAGCTAGGGGCCCTGGAGCTAGATGCCCCCCCTCGTAGGTTTTGATAGCTGGCTCAGATGTGTGTCCGGCTTGGTGGTGCGTGCAAAAAGACTTGTGCATGAGGAAAATAAATAAATAAATAAAAGAAATGTGAGTTGGGTGCATACTTACCCCTGTGCACTGTTCGGTCAATGCATTTGTTGGACTAGCCACAAGTAAGTTCCAACTGTCAGAGCAGTGTGGTTAGGGCACAAGCCTTTCCGTAGAAACAGTGTGAGGAAAATTGAGCCCAGCTCTAGCTATTATTAACATGGAATTTGGTCAGCTTATGAAAGGGGCCTCTATGACATGGTTGACTGCAAAAGTAGGGGACTCAGTGACCCAGGAGCTGCCTTCCATGTCTCTTAGGCTCAGGTCAGACTGACCATTACCAAATCTCAAAAACAGGTCCAGAGTCCTCCACAGCTTCTTGCCTGTCCCACTGAGTTGGATATGTTTGCAGAAGAGCAAATGGGAAAACAAAGCAGGACCTTTGACCCCCTGCTATGGCTATATTAGCTCGGCATAAATGACAGTGTCTCAGGTGAGCATCTACCTCAGCTTCAGCCTGACAAAGAGAGAAAGCAGGACAGGTAAGAGTGGAACTTTGATCTGGGTGCTATTGACTTTGTGACAGTTGTATTTAGGATATAGAGAAGTGAGTGGAGGTGGTCTTCTATCTTGCCCCAATTTTGCCTTATTTTTTATTGCAAGCCAGAGCGTGGGCCTTTTCTCACGCTACATAGCCAAGGATACTGCTGAAATGGAGGAGGGTGGGAGTGCTTGTGGTGGCCTGGACTGAAGCTGAGTGATGGATGCTCCATAAGACGCTCATAGGATGGTCAAGCCAATGATAGGGATTGCAGAGTTTCAGTGTTGGAAGATACATAACCTTTTCTTAGCTGCCTTCAAAACAGGGACTGCAGGCTCTAAAGCAGGTAAGATCAACTGTTTATGCTCTTGGGAAACAAATTCGTATCTTTTGTCTACAGAGGGAAACACTGACTCTAGGATTAAAAATCAAGGAAGGCTGGTAATGGATCAACTGCTGCTTTCAACAAATGTTTAGTGAATGGAGTGGTAGCTTTTGGAGGTAATGTGTATGTAGAAGGAAATCAAAAATGGAAGCAAATTTCCATACTGCAGGAGAAGAAGGAGCATTGACTTGCAGCTACCTGGCACAGGATTTAGCAAAGCAGTCACATGTAATAAACTTGTAGCCTTTTTTGCCGTTGCAATTCCTAACACTGCAATGTTTCCTTCATGTTGCTCTGACTGATCCAGCCTTCTAACTCACGGTATAAACTTTAACTTCTAAACAAGTTTTTAAGGGCAGTATTTTTGACACGCTTGTTTAGATGTAATGCCAGCTTTTTAATGTACCAGGTACCAATTTTCAAGAGTTCCTCCAATTCTGACTGTTTTAATAAAATAAAGGAGCTAAAGTTTGCACTTACTATTCCCTTTTGAGAACTTCTTCTGCCTCCTATCTGCTTCCTTAATCTCAGTGTGGAAAAGACAAGAGAACCTAGTTGGGTTGTTGGGTCTCTCCTCAACTACAGCAAGACAAAATAGTCAGATCACTGGGTCACTAAGATGATCATTGTATGTGATGCACTCACTGGCACAATGTTCTTTAGAGCAATTTACCAAATTTAAAAATAAATAAATAAGAAACCACAAACGAATAAATCCCTTTTTGTGATTTTTTTCAGTTGTACTTATGTGTGGAGTAACTCAATTCTGACCTCTGCCAGTTTTCGTGTTTTGCTCATGTGCTGAAACAAGGCATATTAGCTCTTGTATAAAAAAAGCAGCTTGAACTGGCACCTATTTCTCGGAGCTCTGAAAGCTATCATTCATTGTGGACATTTGCGATTATACAATAAAAGGATGCTTTCATTTTTATATTATCTTCCCCTCGCTTCTTCAGAGGAAATGCACCGTGATCTTTCCTGTTCTCTTTTTCATTTATTGGTTAGGTTTATAGCAAAAAGCTGGTGTTTAACTTGTAATGCTTTATTTCTCTGAAAACAAACAAAATATTGTATGCTGATTCCAGCAGGTCTCTTGGTGTAGAGAGCAGGACTGCTACTGCAAATCATGCTGCAATCCAGGGCATTGGTGATAGCTCTGATTCTGCTCCTTAGCACAACTCTCCCTGGTGAGTCTAAAAAGCTTTTCTGTCTGCCTGAGACAAGGCTCAGCTCTAAGGGTGCTCACTTGCTTTAGAGAAGTCTAACCCATCCATGAAGTAGGACTCAAGCCCAATAGCACAGTTCAAGACCATAAATGTACAGTGCTTGGCAGTGTGAAACAAGTTGGCAAGGGTCTGGCATGAAAATTGTCCATACCTGGTGCAAGGCTATGTAAGGCCTATGACCTAGTAATAAGATGCTGATGGATGCTGTGAGAGCAAATACTGGGGGAGGCCTGAACTTCAGAATTCAAGTCTTTTCCCATTGTGCTTGGGGGTAAGATATCAGAGACACAAGTGGCTGGAGAAGCCTCATGTTTTTCTGCTTCCTGTTTCTCAGAAGTGCATTCAAAGTCTATCTTTGAGAAAGACCGTCGTGACTGGTTGGTCATCCCTGATGCAATTGCAGCTTACATCTATGAAGCTGTGAACAAGATGTCCCCTAAAGTTGGTCAGCTCTTGGCAGATGCTGCCCAGACTCCAGCGGTTGTTGTGACCAGGTATGGAAACTAACACTTCAATAGCCATGGATAAATAGGGAGAGAAAGCAGTGGGACAAAGAATAGATTAATCATGTATCTATATGGGGAGACCCAATGGTAAATGAATCAGCAACCTCGTGTGACCACAATGGGAGTGGGGTGCTGGAAGGTGGAGTGGGACAATACGGTTTCATGTGAAAGTGCAAGCTCTTCGCAGGGATGCACACTGAACATGGCAATGCTTGTGCAGGTAGGAACTACTGAGCTTCATACATGGGTTGTGAGGGAGGGGGCCACTGTCTGGTGGGGGATCAGTCCCCCTGGGAGGGCGCCGGGAAACATTGCTGTCAGTGTAAATCACAGAATTTACTCTAGCTGTGAATGCATATTCCTCAAAGAAGGGGAACTAGTTTCCTCACAAAAGCAAAAGCACGATGACCCTAGAGATAGTTTTATGTAACTCATGGCAAACACATACTGCCTAGTCCTGTATTCTGAGGAAAACCCCTCTAGGACTGCTGACAAAAGTTTGCACTCTCAGTGACAGGCAGTGTGATAATTAACATCATGTATTTGTGTATCTTACCACATATACTGTCATCTCCTGCAGGAACTTCCTCATCAGAGAAACAACTAAACTCAGTATACTGGCTGAACAGCTGGTGGAAAAAATAAAGAACCTGTGGTACACAAAAGTCCTAGGCTACTAGGCAGATGAAGACAAGTCAGTGTTTCTTCATGTGAGTTGGTAACACCCTACAGTCTCCTCCTTCCCCCTGCCCCTACTATGGACCAAGATCAGCCAGCAAGACAGAATTGATGCTCCTCTTAATGCCACTAGAGGAAACACAGCTTCAAAGACTAAAGGATAGAAGGCATCTGCTGAAAGCTCTTCTGAAAACAACCCCACAGCTGGGCATAGGGATGGCAACGAGATTGTACTGCTCTTCTGTAGCCAAATCCTGAGAATTAATTCCTCCTGAATGGCTTGGCCATTGTCCCTCTAATAAAAAAAAATGTTGGTTGTTACACTTCCTTAAGTTTCCTGTTTGTACTGACTGTTATAAAACCACATTCATCTTGTCATCCCATTCTGCTGAGAATGTAGCTGTAATTAGTAAGTTGTTGCAGACAAAGCTAGCAGACCCTGACTGTTCAGGCATTTTTAACCTCATATTGGAAAGACCATGAAATTTAAGTCCTACTGATTGTGCTCCTTAATTAGGTAAGAATTAAGTAGATTTCAGATCATTTGGGAAAACAAGTGCCTACTGACTGAACTGTCCATCAGTCTTGGGAGGAATACAAGAATGTTGTGAGACAATGCAGGAATGTAACTACAC